CTGTCTGAGTTAGGCTAACAGCTGAGCTACTTGAGGAAGGATGGAGCAAATGGAATGGAATGAATAAAATTTTGATGGAACTTCCTTAATAGCAGCATAAAATTGATTATATCTTACACTGCTCTGACCCTCCCGTTTCCTCTTATGTATATCCAATGCCTGATCTGTTACAGCTTATGTAAGAAAATAGCTTCTTACTATAAACAATGCTTTTGACCTTTAATAAATATTTGGTAATTAAAGTGTTGTTACGAGAAGAAAAGTAACTATGTAAATACGGTCCCTTCTGTCTCAACATTTTTGCTCCCTGTGCATCTTCCAGTCAGATGTGCTGCTCCCACTGACGCAAACGAGTTTGCATTCCCACTAGCTCAGCAAAGCCAGTTCGGCTATGGGAGCGTGAGCTGGATTCTGAGCCGCCTCCTGGATTGCCAGCTGAGTTTCAGCTGCAGAACTCTTGTTACTGATCACGCAAGAAGCCAAAATAGAGCCGGTGAGTGGGACCATTTTGAATAACCGCCCTGGCGTGTGTAAACTCAGCACTAGAACGGAGTGGGATTTTTATATTCAAATGTTGATTTTTTTTGATCATTTTCTTTCCACCGGAAAAAAAAATATTGACTTCTCTTCACCCTCCCCCCCAAAATAAGCATTTTGAAAATAATATTTCCCTCCCCTCCCTTGAGAAATCAGTAGGAAGGGGAAGAGGGTGGGGCAGGATGGGGAACTGAATGAGGATTACTTGGATATGCTCTGCCCCAGATGCTCCTCTAAATCCTGAAGAACTCCCCTGAAATCAGTTCAATCTTGCTTTTGTGAAAGATGAGCGAGAATCCAACCTCAGTTGCAGAAAATGGAGTTACGCCATATTCCCCCTGAGAAGCCCTAATGCTTATGGTCCCTTCCCACTAAACAGCTTGGCAACTTCCAATAGTGGATCGGGAGAGGGCCCCTTCCACCCTTTTACACACTGTCCTGGGATCTCTTGGCTGATAAGCAGCCTGTTTACGCGGGCCTCTGGTGGCATCACATTCCTTTAAACCACGGTAACTGGCTTCTGGATTTGTCCCATAGCTACATCCTTGGCATGTCAGCAGCCCAGCGGTTCTAAGTGCAGCTCAGCGGCCGTGGTGCCATTGAGAGCTGCCTAGGGACAGCTCGATCACAGAAACCCAGCGAGATCAGTTATTCGGTCAGAGATCCGTTGATTTCATCAGCGTGTCCGTAGACAGCTAGGAGCAGCGTCAGTAACCAGCAGGGGACAAATCCTGAAAACCCTACCGCTCTTTTCAAGCCACTGCTTGCCCATTTGAAAGCAAAAATAGGACATGGAAGATGCAGCACCTCATAATGACGCCTATGGTCTGCCCTGGTGGCCCCTCTCAGGGCTGGGATGGGAAATGCAATGGTGGGGTGACATTCTTATCCAAGGCCAAGTTTTTTGCCATGGGCCCCAAACCTCAGGTTCTTGCATTCCGAACTCTCACTGACTTTGTCTGATGAAGAACTGAGCAAACCAGTTGGGACCTCATGATTTGGGTCACAATGTTGCATCTAATAGGACCTGATCTCCTGCTATTTTGAGTGTAAGCTCTTCGGGGCAGGGACTTTATCTATACAGCACTGAGCACCCTACTGGTATTATATAAACAACAACAAACAAGGGCCAGAACCGGAATCTTGTTGAGCATCCTCAAGTCCCACTGAAGTCAGTGGGGGTTGGAATGCTCAGCACTTCTCAGGATCAGGACCATGCATGCTGGAACAATTAGTATAGCGGGGGCCATGGAACCAAACTGTAACCCCTGGATATGATGGAAACCACTTCCAGCCAGGGGGTGCAGCAGCCCCCCCAGCACCTGTGATCAGGTCTCAACTGAAGAGAGCAGGAATGAGAATGTGCCCCCACTGGGGAGAACATGAAGGGAAGCCTTTGGGAAGGGGTCAGATCCCACCTTAATCCTGCTGGCTGCTTGCTTACTTCAGTCAAAATGCAGCACATGGGTTTCATCTGGCTACAATTTACCCACCCCTGTATCCCATTGCTTCAATCTGAGCTCAGGACCTAGGACTACTGCAGAGTCAGGCCTTGTCTTGTCTCTTGCACATCCTCCCCAGTATGTGTGTGTATACTCCCCCCCATGCCCAAACTGGTTATGGACCATTCGCCATTTAGTAGCAACTGCTGCTATCCTACAGACTTTACTGTTTAACACACTGGTGCCAGTCTCTTGCACCCTCTGTCACTTTAGTACCTAAAAGCACGAGCGGGTCACTCAAACCACGCGACGACAAACCTAGAATCAGTCTGGCCTTCAGTGCCAGATCCACCCTCTGCTGCAGAATACATGCCGCCAAAACAATGGCAAATACCTGCACAAGCAGGTGGCAGGGTAATATACGGAGTGGTGTGGATTCCACTCGGTGCCAGTGATGGCTGGGGTATATTTGCCTCATGAGGCATGGTCTCCTTTCCCCCTACACTTGGGCAAGTCATGTCCCTCTGTGTGCCTCAGTTTCCCCATCTGTAAAAAAGGGGAGAGGGATACTGACCTCCCTTGCAAAAAAAACTATGAGATCGGCAGATAAAAAGCACTATAAGACCTAGGGATTGCTGTTATTATTACACTAATGGAAGTTATACAGGGATTTCCGGGGGTAGATTGTGTTCTGCTGTCTAAATGTGCCGTATGCCCCCATACAAGAGCAGGTGGATTTCATGCTTACACTTGTACAATTGCTTATGGTGCATCTGATGGCTGGGAAGGTGAGTAGAAGTTGGGTTTGGGCAGAGACTATAGGCCAAGGGTTTGAAAAGTGACAGTGCTGGTGACGGGGGCCCAGACTGACAGCCCTGGAGACAGACACTCTCTGTCCATAGAGCAGGCTTGGCAGGGCATGCACCTTGCTAGAGAGCATCAGTCCCGACCTGGAGGGTGAGAGGGGAGATCAACCTCCACAGGCGATTCAGTCCTTTGCCTCTCCATTCAGACTGAACACGGGGCCAATCGGTGCCATTGGTATGATGCTATGGACACGTGAGACCTGGACTCGTACCGGGCCAAGGACACCTCTTCTCCCATAGAAGAGAGAACGTTTCCCAGGGCAGAAGCATGGGGAAGAGTCTGTTTGCCTCGTGGCATGAGTGTGTTCATGTGCAGGGAGGGTCTGCGCTAACTGATAGCAGGTGGCTAACCCCAAGCAGGCTGGTGCATTGTTCCGCTGAGGCTTGCATTACTCACCGTGCTAAAGCTCCAAGAGGGAATTCAGTTAATCCCCTTGTTTTGCAGCAGAGCACTTTCCCTATATATCCAAGAGACAGAGATATTACCCCCTTTTCCCGCTCTCCCCTCCAAACCCTGATGAACCAGGTTTCAGAACCAGGTGAAACAGTAGCACTTTCTCCTTGGTGAGATGCAGGCCTAGACACGGCTCACTCCATTGGCCAGAGACACTTCCTTCCCCTCCTGCTACAACAGCGTTTCCTACTTCCCCGGCTAGTTCTGTAGCAACATGAAAGGTACTAGCCCATAGCTAGTGACGATGCTGTTACAGTTAAGGGTGAGGGCAAATCCATCGCTAGCTGATCAACTCAGCTGCTCAGAACAGTCTCCACAGTTTTCCTTTTAGGCTGAAACTGCACCGTTTGTCAGCTCAAGAGTGCAACAAAGCTTCATCAAAACCCATGCAGCTATCTTTGAATGACTCAGATAAGGAAAATACTATTAGTCTGGTTAAAACACCCCAAATCACTCCACAGTCATTTGTGTATGTGAGAGAGAATGCACAAACATCGCTTAACAATAGCTGAGTTTTAAAATGCGTCACACTTGGGATGTAGCTGGACCTCAGTGAGGGATATGCAAGTGATCATGCTCAATACAGGTTTGAAAGCCCACGTTACAGATGCTGTAGATCAACTGGGCATAACCAGGGCTGGCCTGAGAATGGGCGACAAGGGATGGATCACTTGATGATTCCCTGTTCTGTTCATTCCCTCTGGAACACCTGGCACGGGCCACTGTCAGAAGACAGGATACTGGGCTAGACGGACCATTGGTCTGACCAAGTCTGGCCATTCTTATGTTCACCTTCAAGGATCATCTCTTTCATTTGATATCTATGTCTCAAACTCACACTTCAGGGACAGGATCTGAAAGCACTTTAGGAACATTAGTTAACCAGCCTTATGTCAAAAGCACAGAGAATGTAATGGAAGACAATACACTTGTTTAGAGGGGGATGGGGGACCATGCTATAGTCTCTCATAGAAATATATCCCTGCTACAAAATTCAGCCAGGTGGGGCCAAGACCCTATTGAAAGGCGCTCAGGTTTTTAGACCGATTTCTATAGCAGCCCATTATTTGATCATAGGATGTTTCCACACAGGTAAGCGTCACAACCCGCCTTGGGAGCCGGGGCACTGGCCATGTTTAGAAACGCCCGTGGTCACCAGAGGGTGAATTCAGGTCTCTCTCTCCCCACCTGCCACCCAGTCAGGGTACCCGGAGAGGGACGAGCCGCACAGCCTTTGCAAAGCAAGCTCGTGGACAGTCACCAGCAGCTCCCAAACCGGAACCCCTCAGGCTCACCCCTGAGCTCAGGGTGTTTCTTCTCGGTGGCTTCAAGTGTGGAGGCAGGACCGAGAAGCCTCTAGCCCTTGTGGGGAGCGCAGCGCTAACACCGGGGCTTGGTTTCTGAGCTGAGACAGCAGGTCTCCTCGAAGCTCCACTCCCTCCAGGGGGAGACACTAGGCCGGGTTCCTGGGGAGGCAGCTCCTCGCCCTGAAGTCAGCGCGACCCCTGAGCGTGGCTGCTCCCCAGTGGGGCTCGCCCCCGGATCGCTCATTGGGAGGCTCCCCCAGGAACCAGAGATGCTCATCGCAAGGGGCTGGATCCTGCCCCCTCTCATTCCCACGGGTGTCAGATCACGCGTGGAGGGTGGAAAGGGACCTGCCAGGGGCTGGAGGCGCGGGGGGAGGGGGCAGCATCTTCTTACCTTCAGCTCTTCCCCGTAGAACTGGACCATGGACGCGTCCGCCACCAACAGCGTCTCCACGAAGCGGGCCGCGGACACGAAGCGCTTGGCTCGGCGGCTGGTCCTCACGGGCAGCTCGCTCCCGGGCTCGGGAGGCTCGGGCGCCCGCCTCCTCTGGAGCCGGTGCGGCTGCAGCAGGGGATCGCCGCCCCTGCGGGCTGCGGGCTGGACGAGGTACTCGTCCCCGTCCACCAGGAAGGAGCCGCGGATGCCCCGGCACAGGCTGACGGCCGCCAGCGAGCCGGGCTGCGAGTTGACGGTCCCGGAGTAGAAGCATTTCCTCAGCCCCGCCTCGTCTTCCTCCGCCCGCGGGCCCGGCCGGCCCAGGCGCTGGATCTTCAGCCCGGGGGCGAGGAAGCGGGCATCGGGCCCCAGCTGCAGCACGAAGTCCCGGCTGAAGGCGGAGAGGCAGAAGGAGACCTGCTCTCCGCCCCGCGGGTCTGGGATCCGCACCGGCACCACCTCCTGGGAGTCCCCGGGCTGGCGGGGCAGCGCGCGGGCAGCGCCCAGCAGCAGCAGGAGGGGGAAGGCAGGTGCCAGCCTGCCAGGCAAGGGCGGCTCCCGACGGGACAGGGGCATGGATGCCACGGGCTTGGAACCGGACCAATGCGACGGGAGACCCAAGGGCCACCCCCGGCAGGGCAGGGCAGGGCGCGCTCCGCAAGCCGGCGTGGGACCGGCGCTGGGGAGTGAAGCCAGATGCAATAGAAGAGGGAGAGATTAACGCCGGCTGGTTTAATTACCAGCAAGCGGAGAGCGAGAGAGATGGAGAAAGCTCCGCTTCCCTCCAGAGCCCGGTCTGGGGGTCAGCACCAGCTCCCTGCCCCTTGGCAAGCCAAACACCCAGCAGCAGCAAGTCAGCGGGCTGCTTGGGCAAGGTGCTGAGCCGGAGGGGGCTTGGGGAAGGGGCTTCTCACTCTCGCTAAGAGTTTGCTTCCCGCCTGTCTTCCCCAGACGCTTCTGGCCAAGCTCGCCGGGAGCAGCCCCTCCAAAGCCTTTGCAGCCCCAAAGCAGGCTGCCGACTCCTCAGTATTTATACTTTCTTCCCCCTCGTTTGACATAAGAGGTTTATTTTTGATCTCGCACTATTCCACTTTCCCCTCCCCTGGGACCCGGAGAAGCAGGAGGAGGAGAAGTGAAAAAGGAAAAAAAAAAAAGTTTTGGATGGAAGTGGAGGCCAATCAGGAGCCAGAGGGACCCGCCTCTCCTGTTTAAGTGTCAACTCCAGCATTTCCCCCCCCCCCCCCCTTTTACTCGCTCCGTATTAACTCCTTCAGCCCAGCCTCTGCCGAGATCAAAGAGCCCGGTCTCACAGCAAGAAGCGCCTGGATTTCAGGGGAGTTAGTCCTGATTTACACGGAGATCAGACGCAGACCCTCCTCCCCCCGCCCAGCTTACACCAGTTTCACCCCCACTGAGTCCAGAGGAGTTGCTCCAGATTGCCATGTCAGAGTCAGAGCCTGAATCGGCGCCCACCCATTGCAAGGAGACCCACCGAGAGCAGAATCAGCCCCTTACCTTTCAGACAGCATTGTCGTCAGGGCTGAAGGCAAACCTACTGCATCAAGTTTTGACTCTGTAGTCCACAGCCCCCCCCCCCCCATATATCAGCCAGCGGCAATACACCCTGTGGCCCAGAAGCAAATGCTAAGGGTCACACAGGGAATGCGGTCTCTGAACAGAACATCACACAAGCAGCTGGATCCTGAGGGTTTGAACGAAGCTGTTTTCCTAAAACCAAAACAAAGCACCAGGCTTTATGGACTAGTTGGTAAAGCAGATTCCTGGTGTGTGCCTATGAGAATAGAATGACCCAAACCACATTGCTCCTTCCCCACCTTTTTTTGTGTGGTGTGCCCCGAGGGGGGTATTCCTGAAACGATCCCATCTCATGATTTAGAGAAACAGAAATCACAGCGAGCTTGATGCCGGAGGGTCTTCCTAGGGAGTGGGATTCCTAGATCTGGAAGCTGCAGGGGCAGGTAAGTCACCTGTTAGCATGTGCCCAGCAAGGAGAAGGCAGAACACAGCTCCAACAGAAAGCAGATGTTCTTGGCTGGGAAAGTTCTTAGAACCAGGGAGCAGCTGTTGTGAAGGCGAGAGGGAAATCGCCCCCTTTGATATATTGTTTCTTTCCTTCTAAGCCCCTTTTCCCACTTAGCCCCAGAGATACCAAAGCTTTGCATTTCTCTTCCGCCCCTATTAAAAATCCTATGGAACATCATTGCAGGTGCTCCTTCTGCAGCCAACTCTCTTGGCAATGAGCCTCGTTTTTACAAAGCGCACCCTCAATTCTCATGAGTTGCAGGTGCTCAGGATTGGGCCAAAACTTCCTTTCCCCTCCAGCGCATGAAACCCCAGAGATCAGCCAATCTAACCTGTGTTTTAAAGTCTAACCCTTCAAATATTTGAAAGGCTAACGCAGCCTTTTGAAGCTCTAGATAGCAGGAAATGAAGTTTTATGGCTAAGACTTGGGGGAGGGGGCAGGATCATGGTTTACAGGCTATTTTCCCTCCACAAATGTGTTAGTGTGAGGAGTATTTACATCTGCCCCTCTCTCTGATGGTCTCTATTTAAAAACCACATCTCTACCTATATAGTAAACACACAGCAGTGTCTCTAAATAGAGTGCTATCCAGGGGCCAAGTTTCTAATTACTGCTTGTCTTTTTAAAGGGAGCTGTAAAAACAACATGGTGGTGATCCATCCGTGACCTCTCTCTCAGTGGCTCAGTATTAAACATGCTCAGTTTACAAATAATGGTTCCCGCCAGCTCACTATGGGATCTGAAAGTCAAGCTGGGGCCTCTTTCAGCCACCCAGTAGCATCTACAATAAGGAGGCTGCTGTTGCTGGATCTTAGCTGCTAATCCTGTTGCTTATGACACATGAGCTAGAATGGACTCCAGCGTGCACTCTCTGTGCTTCAGAGGGGACAGAGTACTAAGATGTATATTTATTAAAAAAAACAAAAAACAAAACAAAAAACAAAACACAAAAAACCAAGGAGTCCAGTGGCATCTTAAAGACTGAACAGATTTATTTGGGCATTAAGCACTTCTTCAGTTGCATGGAGTGAAAATTACAGATACAGGTATAAATATATATATATTTTGTAATTAAAGCCTGCAGGTATGACTCTGCTGCACATGGCTGGGGAGTGTTAGAAGAGGCCATTTTTACATAGTGATTTTTCTGGAAGAATGTCACTTTCAGAATCACTTCACATTTCTTAAAGTAACCCCAAAATAGCAAAGTTCACACTTGCAGCACGGCCCTTCTGTAGTGTCTTTCATCCAAGAACCTCAGCACACTGATGACTAGAGCCTCACAATCTGTGAGGTCGATATTCTCATCCCCATTTTAAAGAAACCGAGGCACAGATAGCTGACATCTGACAGGGTCACGCAGAGAGTCAATGAATAGAACCCAGGCGTCCTGACTGACTCCTTTTCTTTAAGGATAGTTGACGAGAAGGATGGCCTCTCACTGCCCTAGGATACATCCATATAATGTGCATAGAAACAAACGTGACTAGGGTTTGGTAGAAGGGAATTTGGGGATAACAGGATATAAATTATGACCCCCAGCAAGCTTGACTATGGCAGTAACATCTACACAAGGCACGGGGGGGACACATCTTTCCAATAGGATGCAGCTCATTTCTTATCCATGCTTTTGACCTATGAGGACACATTTATATCTTAGATTTTAGGCAGCCCTGGCCTGGTTTTCATTAGTGGTTTTGTCTGCAAACAGTAGCTCGTAGTTTCTTGTAGCTGATACAAGTCTCTCCGGACTTGTTAAAGTGAGTTCTAAGGAGTGCTTTGGGATAACAGAACCAAACCTGGTTTTCACCTCTGGCTTCAGGCATTGTCCTTTCACAGATCTGAGGAGCAGATGAAAAAAAAAACCCACTGACTTCTCTGGAGTATTTGTTTCTTGTTGTAACCCTTTCAGATCCACTTTACAAACCACCAGCGAAGGATAGGAGTTTATGGTTCAATGCCAGTCTTACTGAAGTCAGTGGCAAAGCTCCCTTTGATTTCAATGGGACCTTGATTTCAATGAGAGGGGCTGAGCATATAAAAGCATCTAATTAATAATCAATGTGAGTTTAAAGCCCCTTTGATCAAATTGTTTGCAAACTCTTTCCCCTCCTACTCTCCAAACACCTGAATCTATCACTGCACTGGGCCAGGAGACTAAGAAACAGAAACCTCAGGGAAGCCACCACTATTCAAAACGCAGAACCCCAATTCTAAGACGCTGACTTCTGTGGCAGTTTTGTTTCCAGGATCGGGCCCATTGCACATGCTCCCATGATTCTGTAGCAATCAAAAGCCTCCAGTATCTACTGATTACTTTCACCTGTCACCTGTGATACATTGTCTTGGGTCACCTGCCTGATTTGGAAGTTTACTTCATTTTTGCAGCACTGACCCTGGTTAATTTGCACTCACTCCTCTGCCTTCCCTGTGCTGTCTAGTGACAACATCTTAGATAAAGTACATACAGTCCTACCACTCCAAAAACAACCGCTAGATGTCAGTGCTGTTTTATCCTCTCTTGCTAGTGTAGATAATGAACTCCCAAGCAAGGGGAATAGTCAGTGTCTTATAGAGTGTGTTCTCACCTCACACAGACTGTTATAAAGAGAGTTGGAGGGGGGTAGTGTTTAGTCAACTGAATTCAGGATCTATCTATCCATTCATCCAGTGTTAGATATAGATCAGCTGCTTGCAATCCAAGTTAAATTACCTTCACACAGTGAATATCACTCTGTGATATGACTAACTCTTGGAAGTGTGTTCTCTACTGAATTCGCAGCTGGCCCCCAGTATTCCACCCGTGTGACTGTGTCAGTTTCGAAGAAAGAACTAGCAACAATCGGCCCCAGGAGACAACTTTTCCCATATGGGAGAACAATTTGAACAGACCTTACACTGCAAATATTGGCTCAAGATGCAGCAAGGCATCCGGACTCATAGGATGTTGAATCTGAGGTTTTCATTCAGGCCTGTAGCTGACAGTGAAGTGTGCAAATGAAAAAAAAAGACAGTGAATTATTTGTGTACACAGGGCCTGACTCTGAGTTCACTTGCAGGGTGTGAACCCAGAGGAACTCAACTGAAACTATCAGAGTAAATTCAGAGTAACTGAGAACAGAATTTGGCGCAGCCTATGTAAATACTGCATCTCCTGAGGTTGAAATAATACATTTGATTAGTTTTCCTTTTAAACAAAACCCAGTGGGTAAGAACACATCTCTTTAGGAAAAGATCCATGGACAGGATTTGTTTCTTGCCAGATTATATTCTAGTGTACTCAGTGAAAACGTCTTGGTCATAAAGATGTGAAACTATAGTTCAGACATGTTGACAGCTTAGCATTTTCTTTAGCTAACTTGTGAAAAAGAATTGTGGCCCTGATTAGCACCTGTACTGCTCAAAGTCAGGCCCTAATAAGTGGGCGAGTGTATCAAACACCAATATATATATCATTGTATGATATCAAGATACAATAAGTGTATTAAATACTCAATCATGTAAATTTGGCCACCAGAGGTCACCCTTGATTTATAAGTGCTGTTAATTTAGACTAT